CTTGCACCCCAATCACTGTCGGCTTCTCACTTTTTTTTGGTCTCGGGGTTCTTGTGGTTTTTGATGGATTCAATGTGTCAAAGAAACGCACACTTAGAGCCATTCTCATCCTCTGTCTGCCTCCATGCTGTAGCATTTTTGTCCCAGATTGTGTTGCTAGAAGTGTTTGCTACAAGGGACCAGTTTGTGATTGTATTTAGTGCCAGATTGTGTGGTTTTCATAAAGTCTGTCTGTGTTTAAGCCAGGCTGTGTGGTGATTCATTTAGACCTTTAACTATTGTTTAAAAAGTGAAGCCAAACCATCTTGATTGCCCCCTTGTGGCTGGCTGCAACATAGGTTGTGAATCCCACATCCATATATTAGCAGATTGAACATGGACCAAACTAAAAAGTCAGATTACACATTAAAGTCAATTAAAGGTCCAGTGTGTAAGATTTAGGTGAAAGGGAACTATTGGCAGAAATTTAATGGAGAATAATCCTCATGATGTTTTCACTAATTCGTTTCATCTAAATTGTATGAATTGTAGTTTTCTTTACCCCAGAAAATATTTAAAAACTTAAAATTTACATTGAGGGGACCCTCTCTACAGAGGCCGCCATGTTTTTTACATCAGTCCAGACTGGACAAACTAAACAACTTTTGAGTTTTTATGACAACTGAAGGTACCACGGCTTCCCTTTCATGTTTGGAAGGAGAGGGTGAGGTGAGAGGTGTTCAGCTGCAACATGCAATTTCAACTCTAGATATCACAAATTCTACACACTGTACCTTTATGGTCCACACTGGTGTTTGCTTAAGTGATTACTTATTTTGAATATGTATTATTGTTCCCTCCTTTTTCGTGAGTTAATGTCTACATTGTCATATTAAGCAAGTATTTCACCTGGCACTAATTTTGAGATTTCACAAACGTTTATATTCCCCCTCTTGTAAATTTCAGTCATCTCCCTATAATATCAACTTCTCACTTCATTCACCCACAGTTAAATCCAAGTGAATAAAAATTAATGGTTAAGACCTCCATATTTCTGGCCTATTGCAGTTGACTGGCACATTAATATTTTATTGAATGTTGCAGCTGCGTGACTGTTGAACGTGGCTCAGCCCGACAGAGTCAAGGACCAGAGCTACCTTTTTTAATAGCTGTGGGATAATGATGACTTTTATTTGATTGATGGACTCAGTGGAGCGATCAGAGCAGAATAACCATCAGTCACTGTTTGATACTCTGACAGACAGGTCTTATAGAGGGTATAGACAAAAATAGAGACTCATAAAAACATCAACACCAAATGTATTCACACATTTAATATAGTACAGATAAATATATTCAACTTTCCAGATGGCATGCCAAGTTCCACTTCCTGTGTCCAATAGGTCACTGAAGTTGCTGAACAGTAATTATTGATTAAAAAAGGCTGTTGATCAACAAGCCCAGGTTTAATGAGCACTTACATGATCTATTACACCAATAACTTTTTTAAGGTTTAATGACCAGAGTGTGAACCTTTTTATGTTTCCAATCTGAAATCAATTTCTTCTCCACAATATATATTGCTCTGCATTTTACATTTTATTTTCTTGACATGTGCCCTGTTTTTCTTCTTCAAACCCGATCGTTATTCAGCAAACCAAGATTATGTCTTAACTTGAATCTCAGACTTGATGAAATCTCAACTCTTTAACCCTGATTGAACATCTGTTGCAACATTCCAGATAAACAGTGGCCGGGAACAAATCCAAAGGCTTCTTAAAGCAGCTACAGTGTATATCTAATATTTTTATGCTGACAATATATTACATGACTAGGCCTTTATTAAATTAAGTCAGGATGGACTTGGAAAGAATAATTTACACCATGCATCAGGGTTATTAATCCATTCCAAAGACTTGAAATTAATGAATGAACCCTCTGTTCAAATCTACTGTGCAGGTGAAGTTAGTGGAAAATGAAGCTTCTGCAGAGCTTAAAGAGTGAAAAATGGATTTATATTCACCCAGTTAATGCTGTTGTTGCTAATGTTCCTCCGCAACTGCTGGACTTTCAAGCAGAAAACCCTTTGCTACCAAATCTCATCTTTACTTGTCTCTGTTGTGTTTACAGCTTGATTCTTCTGCCCTCAGTAGTGCAAATTGAAAGAAAAACATCTAAATCTGTCTTCACATTATTTTGACTATTACGAGACTAAACTAGTAGATGAGGGAAACAACCAAGAATGTTTTTTGAAGGACGGTGATCCTTCTTCAGGCTGGATTAGATACAGTAGCTGGTGGAACTTTCTGGACCCATGCCGCTATTTCCCATGAGTTGCTGTTCTTTATGGTGGAGAGGGAACACCATTCATATAGAATGGAAAGCCATGGTGTAGTTGGCTCCACACGTATTCCAATCATGAGAAAGCCAATTGACCTATTTAGTAATTAATGAAGCCGAAAACTACAGGAAATAAAACATTATGGTGAATAGTTGCTTGGACCCAATAATTATGTTGAATGTTTATAGAAGTAAAAAATGATTTATGATTTAAAAAAGGTCACATTTGGGTTTAATTACTGTAGGAGTGTTTGACGAGCCCGTAGTGGCCACTGAATCAAAAGAGCTGGAGTCACAGTCAGTGTTGTGGTATTTGCTTGTAGTCTGAGAAAACAACAAATTGGATTTCATTTGGAGCGGACTGTTGGACACAGCCCCCCTGACAGGCTGTGCTGCTGCTTACAAGCCTCATGCTGTCACTGTCCTCACGCAGACGTCTGTGTCCACATATGTGTGTGTGTGAGAGTCTTTCTCATAGAACAAAGGATAATTGGCCTATGTGTCATTACACAGTTTCCAAAAGTGACCTCATCCTAGTTAACAACAATATAAAAAATGCATAAACCGCCCTGAAATAGGCTGGGTTTTGTTGCCCTGTTGGGTTGGGCCAGGCCGCCGTATCTGCTGGGTAAATATTACTCCGTCTGTGGTTGGGTTCGTCTGCAGCAAACAACAGACCACCAGGGGATGTCGGTATGGAAAGTGTGGCTGTGGCTTGAGAATGGAGAAGAGGAATATCCACGGTGTTGTGGTTTTACAGTATGGCGGAATTACACAGGCCCTTTTCTTCTTTGAGACACACACACACACACACGTATACATATCTCATCCAGACACAATTCACTTCAGTCCTCTCCGGTTTCTTTGTGCATGACAAAAAGCCTACTGTGTCCTCTGAAGAAAAAAAGAGTTCTTAAAGGTGGTTTTAATCCAGATACTGAAGCCAAACAGATTCTCTTTCTGACAACCACATCAAACAAGCTCATTCCCCCCCTCGCTCACTGTGGAGCACGTCGGTCCCATCTTTACAACCCCCTTTAAAGCACTTCATCTCGGGCCTCAGGTAGGGTTTCCACTTCCTGGTTGTCACAGTTATGGCTCATTAAAGAGCTCTGTCTCTCAGCAGGAAGGAAACCGACTGCCCCTCAGATCCCGTTCATGTGTGCGGGTCCTTAACGCCGACGCTGTCACCGGCACACATCTTGTCTTCATTAGCGTTAGAGGCCAGTCTAATGACTGTCAGATGCTGTGTTGTGGTATTAAGGTCAGAGTTGTTAATCAAGTGAAAAGCCATTGTTTGATGGTGTAATCCTTATTTTATAGTCACTCTAAGTAGGAGAAGGTGAGGTATTATGTTTGAAGAATGGAAATCTACACAGTAATTACTCCGCAGGTCATAGCTGCTTTTAATCTGAGAATTAGTACAAGCAAGTAGGCTACTTCATAATGTACTTGGTAAAGTATGTGTTGTGTTTACAATATGAACTCTCTCACAGCCGCTGCTTTTATTATTTGCATCATCAATCAATCTGAAGTTTGGCATATAAAATGTCAAAAGTGGATGTTGGCCTTCTCCGTTTTTCAGATAGTCAGTGGTGTTATCATATTCTGCTGAAGTAAAAGTACAAATAAATAGACAAAAATGTACTGAAGTAAAAGTACCACATCAACAAAACACAAACAAATTGAAGGTAATCATGTTTTATAGGTCAAACATAATCTGCATGACGTAACTATATATGTAAATGCAGAGAAGTAGGATTTGCCTGAAGAAACATTTCTGAAGTTTCAAACACCACAGATTTTCTAAGCGCAGTACTTCAGTAAATGCGAAGTAAAAAATATTAACATCCAGCATAATCTTTGGTTATAGAGTGTCACTCCTCCAGTCAATGGCAGATGGAGTGAGTCAGCCTCTGTTGATGCGACGCTGGTGCTCCGTGACTTTTTGACTCCCAAATCTGCCCCGCAGCATTTCTGACAGACGGTGCGTCCCGGCAGCAAAGGTTGTTGCGAGGTTGACTCCGGGAAAAGATGCTGATGCTCCTGCTCCTGCTATTTAGAGAAGGAGAGAGTCTCTGGCCTTCAGTGTCACATGGATGATGTATCATTATGGTCAGAGCCGAGCTGCAGAGATGGTGATCCTCTATAATGCGACCACTTTGTCACAATTCATAACAACTCTGCTCCATCGTCCAGACACCTCCTGGGCCCGGCAGAAAAGCTGATACATGTGACACGGCAAAAATCCTCTGACAAACATGTCAGCGTTCTGAGCATATTTCTCCAACAATAATATCAGACTGCTGAGTGCTGCTGAGCTCAGGAGGGCTGCCGCTACAAGAGAAACACTGTGTATGTGTCATGCAGTCTGCAGAAGATAAAGTGTCAGCTCCCAAAGCCAATGTGCACTCCATTGAATAACAATATGCACATTACACATATGGTTTGTGTAAATGTGATGGACTGTGGTCTTAAATCTGGCACCATATTAGTTTCACACCATAGAAATCCAAATTTTGGAAATGTCCAAAAAACTTTTACTGAGAACCCACAGAATGTAAACCATACATATGAAGTGGAAATATTGTATTTTGATTTCTTTGACATAAATATTCCTTACAAGACTATTTTTACCCATACTCATTTATTCTAACCAGTCTGTTCCTTGTTTTTCACAGGGAGCCATTTTCTTACCTGGAAACAAAGTCACAGAGCATCCAAGCAGCGGCGATGAAGGGGGGAAATATCTTTTCGAGATCATTCCAGGTAGGAGGAGATTCCAATCTATTTACTTTTTCTAACAGTGAGTAAATTCGGTCTTTTACAAATTTTATTCAAGCTGCTCTCTGTGGCAGTTATTATATTACCTGTTTGTGTGCCACCTGTCTGACAGTTTGTTTTTTTACATCACATTATGAACAGATGATTTAAAAACAGGCAGACGGCCCCAAAAGATCATTCAACACGTTTATTTTCTGTGACTTTTCACTTTTAGTGCCAAAATAAAAGACATAGAGGGGTATTTTCCCAGGTGAAGCAATGCTGAGAATATGTACATGCACTGGGGAAATAAGTTTCTAACAGTAGCACAGTGCACCAGTGGATCCATCTAAAACCCTGCAGAATACACCGGATGTGTGCAATGACCATTCATACTTGTTTGTTTTCATTGCTTCCCTGGTGTGTATCCAGTAAAGTTCCTCTCAGAGGAAACCATCAAGATATTTGCTCACGCCGTTTGTGGCTCCCAGTGGAAAACTCTGGCAGATCATAGTGCAAGTTCTTTTTAACATTTTACAGTAAAAAGGAAATAAATGGCATAAATCTTATACATTATGAGGACATGTGGCCAGATGTGACAGGTACCCTTGATGCTGTTTTTGGCTTATGTTGATGCTGGTCAATAACATTTTCATAATAATAATATCATCTTTCTCTTAATAGTTCCCTGCTGAGATGTTTTACAAGACTTTTTCTTTGAGTTCATGCTGAAAGTCAAGATTAACAGTGGGATGTGCCTGTGTCATGGGAGAAATAATACAACTAGTAGTTTAGGCAGTTTTACCATATGTTTGTGCTTTTGTCATGGTTGACTTATTCTGAAGCTTCAGCACATAGTATGGTGGAAGAAAAATACTTGCTTCAAGCTCTACAAAATATTTACTTTATGTAATAGTATTTATAATGTTTGTCATATTTCAGTGAATATGCATGTGTGGATTTGGAGATGTGTTCCATGGCATATTAACTGGACTGTTTTTCTCACATACTGACACCATATGGATCTAAAAGTTGTCCAGTTTGAATTCCTGGTAATGATTTGCTTGAGTAAGTTGTTTTTCACCAAGAATTAACGTTGCGTTAAACAAAACATGGGGAAATTTTAAAATATATTTATAAACAATTTCACTTCTCTGTTTCAGCTCAAAAATACCCACAGGGCAATGACTGATTCAATTTTAGAATGGCCTTTTTATTTCCTTGAATCACGGTATAAAGTTGAGTCGGTGGCTCATAATTCCACTGACCCAACATTATTTAGAGATATGCATGATCAGCACACATGTTGCAGTCAGAGGATTGGTGACACACGGCAGTGGGATAAACCCGGCTAACCTGTTACCGTTGAGAATGAGACCTCTTGCCTCCCTGAAATTCATATTTTGTAGTAAAAGACTTTAAATTTATAGTGGGACAAAAATGTAATCACACGCCTCACTGTGCCCACGTTTAGTCTCACTTTCACTTCCCCATTTCCAGCTGCTACTGTATATATTGTTGGCTTTGCACATTGAAATATATTGTTGTTTTAGGGTGTGGTAGCATATGTGTTATTTTTAAAGAGGCACCTGATGTACAGCAGCTCATTTCTTCTCTCTGGAGAACATATGAGTGGTAATAACAGTTATTTATTTCCTGTTGACATATGAGGCTCCTTGTTGGTGTGTTCCAGTCTCTACCACAACCATTTCCATTTGTTCTTTTTCCTGATAGGAACAGGATATATTAACTTCTGTAAAAGTTCTGAAAAAGATGAGAGGAAATATAAAATACCTCAATTTCCCTCCTGCAATTGCAGCAATAACAGTCGTGATTCTGCCCCTGTGAACTTTTGGGTGACTTTTTTGGTTTGGAGTTTTTCGGACTATTGACTGTGCCTCGGTTCAGGAGCTACATTCTGCTGAGGTTGCATTTGAAGATTATGTCACAGCGGCGCGACTAGTCTCATTTACAAGGTTCCTTCGAATGTGGTCGACAAGTGCTTCATTCAATCTCCGAGAAAGGAATGGTCCAACTGGTGGATCCTGGCCGCTGATGATGAATTGGTTTTCAAAAGGGTGATGGCAGGAGATGTCCAAACCTTGAGTATCAGGCTTCAACTCAATCAAACTGCTGGGATGATGTCCATGTTAGTGGCTGGGACATGAACCCAACTAAAGCTAACTTTTATTTATTTTGTCAATATCAAGATGTTCCTCTAAGTACAGGGCGGTGTCGAGCTGGTATACAATGTTTATTCACATTAATAATTTCTCTGAACACAGGCTCGTACTTCACACCATTGACCATAATGTGTCGTAAACTTTATTCTTCAAGAGCTGAGTTCATTATGGTTATGTCTCAGATGCTGTAAAATCATTCACACGGATGAAAACATGTGGATTGAAATGTGACACAATAAGACCCATTGAAGGTTGTTAAGACATATTAGAACTCCTCAGGAGAGTTTATGCATTTAGCAGCAGCCGACCAGTGCCACTGAACTGTTCTGCATCATGTACTCCACCCTCGTACTGATGGAAAACAAGAACACAACTTGTTATGAGGCTGCATATAAAGAGGCCTAAGAAGCAGAGAGAGCAAATGAAAGGAAAACACAACACATATATTCCACTGGTCTAAAACTGTGGCCCCGCAGCTTGAACACAACACATGGACACACAGTCTCTGGCAGACGGACAGACGGGAAGTGATGGGGGGGTGGAGAACTGCAAGGGAAATGGGGTGGAAGTCAAGGGTTGTACAGAGATGTCCGTTGTCTTGTAAAGGGCAGCGATGAGATCTGAACTTGAGCTGTTAACCTGCTGTCAGATTAACTCTGGAAAGTTGTTTTTAAAGTTATGCTGCACCTCGTAAAACTTTTATTCACCTGCTCCATGCACCCTCCTGTGCTTTTCTTTTCTCGTCTTTGTTTTTTTTTCTTTGAACGCAGTTTGTGTTAAATCTGCAGAAAGACAAAGAGAGGGAGGGGTTCTGAGGCAGACTCACCACATTGCCAACAATATTTAGACTGGAATCATGGCTCTGTCACATTTCTAATGGAGACGCACAGGTACAGACACACTGGGGCTTTTGTTTTGCTCACTCAAACCAAGACTTTAAGCACCAGTGACGTTGTCTTCCATCACGCTGACACGTTACAACATGTGCCAGCACATATGGGCCCGAGCTAAAGAGGAGGAAAGGAATACAAACAAAGCGCATGAACGCAGCTGTGCGAAAAGTCATATTTTTGGCATTGGATAATCTGCGTGGGATATCACCTGAGGATTACATCATGACTGTCATAGAAATGTTTCGAAATCATGTTATTGCCTCACTGATCATTGAAAGTGGCAGGGAGAGAATAAAAACCGGATCGCTCTCAGTCCATATATCTGGAACACATATCAGAACATCCCCGCTCAGGATCAGTGTGCAGTTTAGTCTGATGTTGAATCCTCCAAAAAATGTCAGGTATGACGTGAACACGGCTGCATGGTATAACAGAGCTCTGAGCACCTGAGAACTGGATTTCCCAGAGTCTGCCTTCGGCAAATTATAAATTTACACCAAACTGCACAGACTCTTCATTTATTTACCTGTCAGGCTGCGTAAATACCTGTAGCTAAATGTCATTCTCTTGGTCCAACTGTTATTAATCAGCCAGTTCCTATAAAACAAGAATCAACACAGGAAACACTCCCTGCTGTGTTTTTTGACAGAGAAACAGTGCGTTCCTCTTCATTCTCAACTCTAACAAACACAAGACTTTGAGTTCAGTGTGTCTCTCTTTCTCTCTCTTTGCCTCAGGCTCAGTCTTTTGCTCTCTCGACCCGTTTTCCTCTTTTTCTCCTGGTAGTGTGATTACAGTGGCTGGTCAGGCCACAGCAGGACACTGCTGCTGAATTATGGGAATATTTCCCTGCTTGTTCCCCAGGCCACCATCCCTTCATTTATGAGAGGAGCGTGGGATCATGTTGCTACGAGCAGGTGGACGCTGGTCTTAAGCTTAAATGCTGTTAACGGAGCAAAGACTGAGTCCACGAACATGCTGAAGAGATAAATAGCATCAAACTGTTTGTCTCCCTTCTAACAACGTAAAGTCTCATCAAGCATGAAATGTTTGAGTAACTTGACATGGTGCTGAGGTTCACATGTGAGAAAGCCTCAGTGTTGATCTAAAGCAAGCTGACAGTGCCATCGTGTGGTTTTTATGAGGAGTTACAGGGCAAAAAAATCCTAATCTTTTTATTATTCATATTGGGATTTTGCACTAAGTAGTAGGTTTAAGTTGAATTTGTAACTAAGCAAAATAAGATTAAATCTATGTTGTTTATTGTTGCAAAACACAACTCTTTTATGATTCAATCTCAATGAAGTAAAATCATTTTACTGTAATTTTAAACGTAATGCCAATGATTGAGGGATTTGTTTCTTTCTCACTAGTTTGTGAAACATTAGCATTAATCAGTCATAGGAACATTATTAAAGTGTGCAGACATTTGTATTTGCAGAATACAAATTTCTTCGCTTTAAGTTTGCTCTAGTTTTGGATGAAAAAGGAGATTTATAAGTGTAACTGCAAATGTGCCGCATGATTTAATTTTTTGATTTAGTGCATCTGTGATTAATGCTCCATCATGCTCCTGTCATGTATGCCTGACAGGAAACCCTATAGTGACCTTCGCAATGAGTTACAGGTGTCATATTTCACTAAGAGGGGCAGGTCTTATTCACACAATGTGACTTATGTGATTGACTCATGGTAATTACTATGTAATTATGAGTAAGCAGGTGGGTGTGGGAGTAAATCAGACCCACACAGCAGATGAAATTTTCTTATCGCTCTTATTCCAGTTAATTAGAAAATCAAATATAAACAGGAATACTGCTGATGACTATTGGACGGTGAAGACAGACAAGCTTTTTTAAGACCATGGGCCACTGTACTATTCATCATCAGGAAGTCAGGTTACGTGGAAGCTGACAAAGCTGGTATGTAG